CTAGTGGTGGGTGCCAGGGCAGGCAGCAAGGACCAGGGCCAACTGTGGGCACGCTGGCAGCCGCAAGGGTCCCTGGCTGTCTGCATGTTCTCCTGTGGCTGCACGGTCTCCCCCTAGGTGTGCACACCACAGTGGAGGCCAGTGTCAGGTGTCAGGCTGGCAGTGTGTAAGTGCACAGCTGGAGGGGCTAGCCCCAAGTGCACACATGGTGATGGGGCTTGTAGGCTGGTGTCTTGTACTCACACAGAGGCCTGGGCTGGCTGCTCGTGTGGTACCTGAGCTCTAGCAGGGGCCAGAGTGGGGCAGGCTGGGAAGAAAATAAATAGGTAGGGACTGAGGTGGCTGATGTCAGTGAATGCAAATACCTGTGGGGGTCCATGGTGGTTGTGCTGTCTCTTGGTTTCTTCAGTGGTGAAAGCTGCTGGATTTGTCTGTGGAGCAGGTGTCTCGGAACCACAGCTGCTCCTACTATGTGCCTGCTTCTGGGAGCCCCTGCTTTTTCTTCCTTGTCCCCCATTTCTGTGTGTCTCAGCTTTGCCAATCTCTGAGTGAGTGGGGTGAAACTGAAGGGGGCCCTTCATGAGGTGCCCCGAAAGGCAGGGGAAGCTGGTCACTCACCCCACTCCCCCTTTCCTAGTGAAGGGTCCCCTTTCTAGCTGGGCACTCCCTCTTGGTGCTGAGCACTGCTGGCTTTGGGGACGGGATGGTGCAGGCAGAATGAAGCTGTCTTCCCCTTTTTGTATGGTTATTCTCAGGTTTTACGTTCAACTGCATTACTGAAGTTTCTTAAGTGGACTCCAGAGCTCTCCCAGAGCTGGTTTTGTTCATGGATAGACAGCTAAGTGTTGATCTTTGTGGAAGAATGGAGGCTGGGTATCCTGCACTGCCATTTTGGCAGCATCACCTCCAGTCCTGCCAACTCAGGAACAGCCGGATGGAAGAGATACATAGAGCAAGGTATGTGGGAATGGGCACGGAGCTTCGATGCCCTCTCCAGGCACACCACTCACCTAGCACACCTCCACATGTTCACCAACTTGGAATCTACTATTTGACCATCAATTCCAAACTATGGTCCGGGAGAAGTTAACAGGTACTAGGCTGACAACTAAATGCCCACAGACACTAGCTCCAATGAGATCCACAGCAGATGACATAGAAGCCACACATCTGATCAGTATTTTAGTCTCATGGTCACAGAATTGCCTTACTGAACTGCACAGTGGCAGGAAGACAAAGCTTATTGCACTATGACCACTTGCAGACGGGTGGTCAGGGAAGTCACCTGCCACATCACAATGTGTCTTTTTTGGGCTCTAGGCAAACCTCATCTCTAGCTACCCATCCCTGGTCAAATTTGCTGCCCACCCTAGCAGCTGGGCGTAATATAGAGGAATGGTCAAGTTCACGTCCTACCACTGTGACAGTGAACAAGTTATTTTCTCTAAACATTCATTTCTTCATGCGAAAAACTGGGATAAGAATGAAAATTATAGCTGCTGAGAGCTTGTTATGTGCTGGGCACTGTTCTATGTGCTTTCCATTAATTCATTCATTTACTTCTCATTACAACTCCATGAGGGAGGCATTATTTCTATTCCCATTTTAAATAGGAAGAAAAGGAGCTACAGAGAGGTTAAGAAACCTGCCCAAGGCCACACCACTAGTAAACAGTCGAGCCAGGAGGGCAGTGGTAGCAATGAAACTAAATAGCACATAGATAATGCTTGGTGCAGGGTCTGGCCTACCGTCAATACCTGGTAGTCACCACACTCAAAACCTTGATGCCTATTTCTGTGGGTTAATCTTAGGCAAAGCTTGATTTTCTTACCCCTGTGGCAGAAAGGCCCAGTCACTTCTCTCTAGTTCAACGTCAGCTATGACCGAGTTCCTCCTGACACTTCAGTAAGTAAGTAAGTTATCAACTCTGCTACTGTGATTCCTGCAAGTCTGGTCTCAAAGGGTTGGGGCAAGTCTTTTTCTGTATAGGGCCAGATGTTAACATGTTTGTTGGGCTTTATAGACCAGATAATTGCTGTCACATGTCTTTTTCCAACGCTTTTAAAAATGTAGAACCCATTTTAGCTCACAGGCTGTAGCTGCCATCCCTGGCTCTCCAGGATTATCAATAGAGAACCTTTCTAGTCATCAAGAAGCTCTCACGCGGTGCGGGAGCCATCACAATTGGCTAAATCGCCTGGTTACACTTTCATTAAATCCCACCCACCACAAGTTGCCTTATTTTAATGAGATTTTTTTCATTAAATAGGTACATTTTGGAAAACAGTGAAGAAACTTCCAAATGTCTGTCTGCAGGTAAGGGAAGGTAGGTAGGTAGGTGGGTAGGTAAATCTAGAAATGCCTACCTGAAGAGTCTTCTACAGCAATAGTGATAAAGGAAAAAAGAGGATATGCCAGAAGCATAGTTTTTAGAAAAGCAGCACAGAATTTCATTCATGCAAGAAACATTTAGAAGAATTTATTGAGCATCTCTATATACAGTAATTTTAGAGCTCAGTGACCTTAGAAATTATCTGGTCCAATCTCCTTATTTCATGGATGAGGATTCTGAAGGACACCCCCCCTCC